AAGCAACTGCTCTTGAGAACAAAGAAACACTAGTTACTTGCTGAGCTGGGCTCTGTCCTGGGAGGGGTTTCTCTGCTGCTTGGGTCGCTGCTGAGTGTGGCTGCCCAGTGACCGGAAACATCTCCCAGGGCCTCCACAATTCATGATCCTTCTGGAATGCCTTTGACCTTGAGGTCTCAGAGAGGCTTAAATGAATGGATCATACTCCTGGAGACCATACTGGCTGCCTCAGTGTCTGGCTTTTTGTTTTTATTTTATTTATCTATTTATTTATTTTCAGAAAGCAGAATTTATTGAGGACAGAAAAGCTCCCACAGTGGAAGGGGACCCGAAGGGGTTACCCAAGGCTTTTTGTTTTTATAAAACTCAGTGTTCCAGGACCTAGAAATGAGCTCTGGCCTGTAAAATAGTAAGCCCCAAGGACGCTGCTTTCATTTTGCTGGGTTTATCACCTCTCCTGAGAATAAAGGATGAAGGAAGGAATTTCTAGTCTCTACACAGGTACTGACTTCTCAGAGGGGGAAGGGGTGCTACTATATTTCCTTCTGGGTCCCTTTCTGGTCTGGTTGGGAACCCTCTTCTGGGTTACTCCTGCCGTCCTAGCCTCAGGGAGGGAGTCCTAGGAGAATGCCCCCTCTGTTAATGATGAGGTAGGAAGGCCCTGGATGTGGAACTCAGCCAGAGTAGGCCATGCCTCAGCCTCACTCCTTGGGGTATAAAAGCCTCCCAAGAGTCAGGCTATGTCCCTACCTGACCAGAGTGCCAGCCCCTATCTTTAGGACTGCCTGGTGAGTGGCAGGCCCTACCCCCCATCCAGTCCCCTGGGCTTTGGGCAATATGGGTCCACTCATAGGAGCTGGCACTCAGTGGGTCAGGATTTCCTCCTATCCGCAAGGTCATCTCTGTCCACTGGTCTCAGAACCACTGAGAGCCCACGAGTCTGCCTCCTAGAGCACTTTCCTCTCATCAGTGGCACCCACCAGAAGTGGCCCACATTGCCTTACACAGGCTTAGGAGTCTGAGACCGAGCCCTCATGCCAGCTTGCAAGTAACTCCCACTCCCACCGGATCCTTCTGCCCTGAGCCTCAGTTTCTACCTGTCATTGATCTCCTCAAATCACCCTGGACGCCTTGGATATGAAACCAAGGCTCCCCCCCAGCACTCAGAACTGCTGCTGCTCACCTGAGTACTGTCATCAGCCATCACACCTGAGTGCGGCCCACTAACCACTGCCAGTAAAGGTGGGCCCTCTGTATCTGACTAGGTTCTTCTCTGTGCATACTCTGGCTGTGCAAACTCCTCTCCACACCCCTCCTTCCCCTTCCTCTTGCTTCTACCTCCCAACCCCACTATGGGGATTCCCCACATTCTATGGGGCAGGAGCCTTCCAGTTCTGACATGCTGTCCTGTGGCCAGTCAGACCACAGAGTGAAATATCCTCCCACTGACTCAGTGCCTGTCTCTCTCAGCACCCCCTCTTTTATGTCCCTGGACAGAATATTGTGTTTCCACTGACCCCTCTCCTCACAGGGCTAATTGTTTCCATACAGCCCCCTGAATTCTAATAACAGGAAAGAAGAACATAGCATGCAAAAGTAAATTCACTCCTGATAGAAATCATGGAAGAAGCGTGATACAGGCCAGTGGTCAGGTGGATGTATGAACACAACTGGCTTTTGCTCCCTGCTGGGGATAGTCACAGAAATAAGCAGAATCTTATTTCTGTGCATAGATGCAACCAACAAAGGTGATTGAATTAGGGGAAAGGCTCCAGCCAGGCATAATGAAGTCCCTGCCCCACCAAATGGGAAAGAGCTGGGGAGCTGGATGCTGAAGTCCTTTGCACCAAGGAGCAGAGGCAGGATCCCTTCTTTCTGCTTCTCCTCACTCCTGTCTTGCCCTGGCCTGGAAATGGTCATCCAGGCTGAGAAAGGCCAATCTCAGGATCCCCCTTCACCTCTGGATGGTCATCCAGTCCCTCAGGGAGGAATTCATAAACAAAGGTCTTGTCTTGACAAGAGTCTGTGAGACTTTTGAGAGCCAGACCTGTTAAGCCAGTGTGGCCAGCCCAGAGCCAGGTGACCCAGCCTGTGTCAGTTGCCCAACCAAACAGGGTCAATTATTTAATTTGGTGAGTCTTTCTGGAAACCTGCCCCATTCCAGGCCCTGTGCTGGGCACTGGGCACACACAGCAGAGCCCTCTTGAGGTAAATGGGGTAAAGATGTCAGCATAGGAGACTATATACCTCATGCCAGTAGCAGAGCACAGAGCAAGTTAAGGAATTTCAGAGGAAAGAGTGAGCACACCTGCGGGGTCACCAGGACACAGCTTCCCAGAGGATGGGCCTTTCTTTTTTTTTTTGAGACAGGGTCTTACTTTGTTGCCCAGGCTGGAGTGCAGTTGTGTGATCCCAGCTCACTGCAGCCTCAATCCCCTGGGCTCAAGTGATCCTTCCACTTAAGCCTCCCAAGTAGCTAGAACTACAGGCTCACGCCACCACGCCCTGCTGTTTTTTTGGGGGGAGGGGTACTTTTTTGTAGAGATGATGTTGTCTCTCGCTATGTTGCCCAGGATGGCCTTGAATTCCTAGGCTCAAGCGATCCTCCCACCTCAGCCTCCCAAAGTGCTGAGGACTGCAAGCATAATCCCGTATAGGGATTGAGCCTCTGGAGATGGTTGCAACAAGCAGAGAGAAGAAAACAATGTGAGCCTGAGTGGAATAGGGGGATGGCAGTGAGAAGTGGGCTGGGAAAGAAGGCTGGGGCTAGATTACAGATGGCCCTGGATGACCTGAGATTAGTCACATCTGCTCTCTGATCTCAGTTTCCCCATCTGTCAAATGGAAAAATCTGGCCTAGAATTAGTGCATTCGTTTTTTACCTTTTCAGAATTAGAATTAGTTTTTTACCTTTTCAGACCCAATTTCAGGTATAACCTTTTCACAATTTCAAGTGGTGTGTGTGTGTGTGTGTGTGTGTGTGTGTGTAACTATAATATAAAGGAAGCATAACTGGGCACAGTGGATCATGCCTTTAATCCCAGTACTTTGGGAGGTGGAGGCGAGAGGATTGCCTGAGCCCAGGGGTTTGAGACCAGCGTGGGCAACATAGCAAGACCCCATCTCTACAATAAATTTTAAAAATTAGCCAGGCGTGGTGGCTTGCACATGTAGTTCCAACTACTTGAGAGGTGAGGTGGAAGGATCGCCCGAGCCCAGCAGGTCGATGCTGCAGTAGCCATGAGCATGCCACTGTACTCCATCCAGCCTGGGAGACAGAGTGAGACTCTGACTTTTAAAAAAAAAAAAAAGGAAATTATTTATAGGCTGACTCAAGCCCGTAATCCCAGCACTTTGGGAGGCCGAGGCGAGAGTATTGCCTGAGCCCAGGCAACTTGGTGAGACCTTGTCTCTACAATATATCAAAAAATTAATCAGGCACGGTAGTGCACCTATAGTTCCAGCTACTTGGAAAGCTGAGGCCGAAGGATCACCTGAGCTCAGAAGGTCGATGCTGGGGTGGCCATGAGCATGCCACTGCACTCCAGCCTGGGCAACAGAGTGAGACTCAAAAAAGAAATGATTTATAATAAAACATGTTCTGTGTCAGTTTGTAGATACTCACAACCATGCTAGAAAACCTAATGAAGTGGCCAGGTGCTCTCATCATAGGTAAAGTGCCATTCTGCCTCAAATGCAGTCCTATACAGGTAGGTTGTATTAATCAGTAGTGTTTCTCTTAGAGATGTATTTTCCAAAAGAGAAAACAGTTTTGTTTTTTTTTTTTGAGTTGGAGTCTCACTC